TATCATACAAAAGAGCTTCCTCAGCCAAGACCTAGAGCATAAAGGATCTTGCTTTTGAATCAGTAGATCTGTGACTAGGAAAGACCTGTTCCATAATAAATTTCTTAGGGCACATCCAGATGGGTAAAGTTGGAAAGATCTGATTTGTGCTTTAAAGGTTCTTCTTATTAGAGTGATCTGTTTTTTCTCTCACTTGAGGGTTCCTTCCATTCACAACGTGTCATGCTTTAATTTGTCCCTAACTTGATTAGTGACACTCCCCTTCCTGCCCGCTTCTCTGCCATTTCCCACAGCCATCAATTAGAGGTCCACAGCAGTGATCCCTTTTTTTGTTGTTAAATAAAGTACAGTAGGTGACATAGTGAATCAGCAATGCACCTACCTAGCATGTTACACATAATACTACCAATATATCTCATTTATCTAGATTAGAGCTGCATCAGTCGGAAAATATATATTAAAAATTAAAATAGTATAATTGATTAAAATAGAGGAGGGGGAGTTCTCTGCTGTCCCATTCAATGCCATAACTGGATCAAATATGTCACTGGGTTGTAATCTCAAACAAAACTATCTATGGCTCTATTTGGGTGCAAACTAACCATCCACATGAGTGGCAGAATAGAATAATTAGGAGCACTCTGAATTGTGCCAAAAACCTTGTGGTCCTCATGCTGTGCCAAAAAGAAGCAGGGCAGCTCTAAAAAGGGGCTCTAAGTCAATGGTTCCCAACCTTGGGTAGCCCAGATATTCTTGGACTGCAATTCTCAGAAGCCTTCACTACCAGCTGTGCTGGCTGGGGATTCTGGGAGTTGGAGTCCAAAAGCACCAGGGTCACCCAAGATTGGAACCACTACTTCACGTCAAAATGCATGTGGATGCCATTATTTGATTTGAACTAGACAGCACCAAAAGTAATCCAAATATGCCCGCCTGGACATGCTCTTAGTCTTTAAAGTGCTATGCCGTTTGTTTCCTCTCATTCGACAGACAAATACAAGCACTTTTCATTGAGCATTTGGGCATGATATAGTTACTGTACATCAGGCTGATACTGCTTCTAACTATCATGGATATGTGTTGTGTTGCTGTCACCAGTTGATTACATCAACATTATATATTATTAAATATTATTAATAACAGAGGTCCAGGCAGTGTGTCATTTTGAAAAGATCCAAATAGAAGTTGTTTATTGTTACAAGAGATGAAGGTACCATCAACGTCTTTAACTCTTATCAAAACATCTTACTTCATCCACTCTCAACCGCTCACTCTCTCTCTCTACTCCAAACTCTAATTTCCAGTCTCCCATCTAAATACTCTCAGTCTCTAAAACTCCAATCTAAATCTCTCCTCCCCCTGCAGAGACTCTTATATCTCATGACTCTGCCTCTCCAGCACTCTCATTGGTCCATGAAGATAGCACATTAATATTCATTACCTGGGCGGATGCCACAGTTCCATTCTAGGGACGCTGAAGAGCTCCTGAAGTTTGTGAAGTGTTTAAAATTATTTGTTATAGTTTAGGGAAGTATACTAGAGCTCTCTAAACCAGAAAAATCTAAATATCTCAGTAAATCACAAATCCCAGGTTTCCATAGAATTAAACTATGATAGTTAAAACATCATCAAAATGTTATAACTGTGTAAAATAAATACTTTTGTAGATTTCGAACTTTATCATACATGGACAGGTCGATTAACAAAAGTACCCTTTAAAAAGAACCCTTTTCAACGAGCTATTATTAGAGATGGGCAAAGTTGCTTTTTGACTAAAGTTCCCTACTGGTATACTTAGTCCCCATGCTATCTAGGGTTTGTTGAAAGATTTAGTCTCTGGTCAGTGGCCATGTTGGCTTGGGTATTCTGGGAACTGTAATCCAAAAAGCACCTTTTCCCATCTTTTATTATTCTTGCTGCAGGATCCTTTATAAAACTATATAGATTTGAAGGCTACTCCTTTAGGATAAATGTGCATTTTTTTTGAAGATGACATTGTTTCTAGAAGCATCTGCTTTGGGAATTCATTGGTCTTGACCGTGAACCTAGGTTCATATTACAGGAGTATATCTCATTACTTAGTAATGAGCTTCTGTTCTGTTCGAAAAGGAAGGTGGGGGAGGGGAAGGAAAGCAATTAAAGATAATAGAGCCAAAAATATGAATGATGATAAATGCACAATGTCCAACCTAGATGCAATTGCATTAGAAGCTTCAACATCACATTGGTATGTTAACTAATCAATGACGTGACCAATTTAATTGTTGCTGTTTTGGACCGGTTAGCATTTTTAAAGAGACAGAGGTAAATCTGAACGCATAAAGAAAAGTGCCGTAGATTGTCATGGTCCAGCATGGCAATAGAAATATAATCGGCTCATTTGTTTACCACCGCTCAGAGAGGGACGTAATTGAATTCATGTGCCTTTGCCACCATCTCAGCAATTGTTTTCTGAGGACTGGTGTCATTTTTTTTTTTGTTGCTATGCAATTTCTTCTGAGCAAATTGGACTGTATCACAGGGCAGGCTCTTTCATAATGAATTCTGCTCTGTTTGGGCACTTCTGCCCCCTATTTATTCCTGTCCTTGTTGTCATTGGATCCCAAGAGCTAAAATCCTTTATTAGAGCTCATTCTCAAAGGAGACAGTTTTGGGTCACTGGCTGCTGCTCGTTGCTCTTTACAAGACTGGCTAAGTTCTAGCCAACCATTAAGGCAACAAGTGGCACACAAACTCTTTTCAGAGTAACAGAACAAAACATGCAATTGAGTTATTCTGAGTCAGTGTTCCCTACTGTTTCCCCTTACAGTGTACGTCTTACATCAAGGCTCAGTGCGGTGTCAGCCCAAGCACACCCACCATCTGTATTAAAGTGTACCATCGATATCTATCTCTATATTTCCTAAATCATGTCTATCCTGTGCTTTCTTCTTTAAGGAAGTTAGAACAACATACATGGTCATTATCCTATTGCTATTTTCATCAAGAGAGGAGACCCATTGAACCGATTGCTGAGTCATATCATAAGTCAACATATATGTAGATCATATTCTAGTTGGGACCAGCAATTGACCTATAAAACAAACCACAAAACCATTCCATCTCCATCTGTAAATTCGCTAATAGCTTAAAGCAGTGGTCTTCATACTTCCAAGAGTCTTCAACTCTAACCTGTGCCACGAAGACTTTTTTTCATTTTCATTTATCTCTGATACATTTTCCTCTTCATAATATCTGTCTCCCTCCTAGTCAGCTCTTCTGTTGTTTGCGATCTACACATTGTGTACCTCTTCCACAGAACACTTTGGGAATGGTTAGATAACAATGGGGACATGGTGGCGCTGTGGGCTAAACTGCAGAAGCCTTTGTGTGCTGCAGGGTCAGAAGACCAGCAGTTGTAAGATCAACTCCACGCGGCGGAGTGAGCTCCCGTCGCTTTGTCCCAGCTCCTCGCCAACCTAGCAATTCGAAAGCATGTAAATGCAAGTAGATAAATAGGTACCATCTCGGTGGGAAGGTAAACAGCATTCCGAATCTAAATCACGCTGGCCACGTGACAACGGCAACTGTCTTCAGACAAACGCTGGCTCTACGGCTTGGAAACGGGGATGAGCACCTTCCCCTAGAGTCGAACACGACTGACTAAAATGTCAAGGGGAATCTTTGCCTTTACCTTAGATAACAATTTGCAGAATCTTCCCAGTTAAGATGGCCAGTGCTTTTTTGGACAAGATGTAACTTGCCCTGAAAGGCCGTTGAGAGGGGTTGTTGTGTAATTCAAGCTTTATATTGCTGCTGACAAAATGTGTTGCTTTTGCATCTCATTCATAACAGGCAGACTTGTTAAAGTTTAGTTCTACTGGAATGTTTTAGTTTTATATTATTTTTCACAAGCTATCCCTAAAAGAGGCAGTGAATATCTCTGTTTATAGGCACAAGACAGGTTGAAACTATACTTGGACATCAAATCAAACTATAGTTCTGTATCTTCAGGCTTGTGTGCTCCTTTTCATTGCTACCAGGAGCAGATCAGAAATGTTCACTTCAGATTTAAATTAATAACATATTAATACTTCATCTGTACCCAGCAAATTGTCATTTATCTGGCCTTTGTGTGTGTTTCAGCCAATTTTAAACCATGGGTTGTAAAACTCACTTGTCTGAATGAGTTGCAGTTACCATTAACAAAGGGTTAGGACTTCTGGTCTCTGCCTGGTAGCAGTGTCATAGAAAAGGAAAAGGGTGCAGTCTTGAAGCTCACCAGAGTGCATTTTTGTCATGCTAACCTACAGTTTAGTGTGACATTTGAAGACGGCCATCTGCTATTTCAGTTTGCAGCCAGAAACCAAGGGACTCACTGAGAGCAACAGGTTGGTGGGATGAAAGACTTCTCATTGACCATGGTGGGTACACATGCCATTGCCATCTGTAGTAGATAGTTAATACAGATGACACTGTGGCAGATAGTGATCACAGATTTCTATAGTGCTTTAAAATCCTGTGGTATCTGGCTGACCAAAGATGTGATATGAGCAATAATGAATATATCTTATACAATTTTCAGTTCCTGTACATCATCCAATATAGCAGGGATGGGCAACGTACGATCCTCTAGGTATTGTTGAACTGCAGCTTCTGTCAGCCATAATTAGCACAGTCAAGAATATGGGATCATGCAAATTGCACTCCAACAACAGGGAGTGCCACTTCTGAACTACACTCACAGCTCCTTATCCACATTTGTTGTGTAAAGAGTTATGTACTGCGTTCTCAAACACCTACTGATGTCTTCTTCAAAACTGACTCCCCCTCTACCTCTGCTCAGTGATGCAGCTGGAGTAATAGTTCATTTGCAGGAAAATCTATTTCCTACATGGAATTGAAATATTGCTATAGTTTTCTCTTGTGAGGAAAAGAGCACTTGCTTTTTGTTTGCCTCCTGGGATAAGCACTGACTCCTTTGTTGTTGTTGTTGTTCTCTTTTCATATTTTTTTTTTAGTTTGAAGAAGGGGTCCTGGATGCTTGCTTATACCTGATGGACAGAGCACAGTTGGCTCTCTCTGGCCGAGGAAACCCAGTCAAAATCAGCCGCGTTGGCTCCGCAGTGGTATGCAGTCAAAAAATGTGGAGTGAAATATATGGCATGTTGCTTATTTATGACAATACATAGGTGTACGCCAAATGTGGTTTATGTTGCACATTGTATTTTCCATTCTAAAGCGTCAAGCGTGGTTTTACAGTTAGAAAAGATAAATCAATGTCATACCCCAGGCAACAAAATTTGGAGGGCAGAGAGCAACAGCAAATTGATAAATATTTAGCTTACCATATGTTTTTTTTAAATGTACCTCAGGAACAAAATGCCATTTCCTGTCTCTATATGCCAAATCTTTATGGTGCATAAACTGCTTCTCTTTTCAGCAGCTCTCTAGGGTGGGTTCTTAAGCTTCCTATTTTGTCCAAGGAAGAACAAAGGCTGAGAGACAAATGAATTAACCAAGGCTGTCTAATACATCCTTAGCTGAATAGTAGTTTGAGCCTATCTTCTAAGTTAAATACGCTTTGCAGATGATCCGAAGGGTTGCATTTTCTAATGGAATCACCTGAAAGTACAAAATAATTAAAGCCCTTTTAAAACTATGTTTCGCTGCAGCCCTGTATCAGCTGAGCCGCTTTTGTGAGAACCCAGTTTGAAAACACAAGGAATGGCACAATAAAGTTTTTGTTCCCAGCACAACCTTGACCTTGGAAATATCACTGTTGTGGGTGACACCTTTTAAGATCCTGCAGACTTGCGTGGTCAGTGGCCATGTTGGATTCTGGGAGTTATTCTCCAGAAAAGTTTGGGTGTCCAAGTGCTCTGTGGCACTAAATGTGTGACTACGAACAATGTCTGTTTTCTTAAAATAGGTATAAGAGGGAGTGGATTTTCTTTAAAATTACATTGTGCATGGAAGAAAAATGTAATCTTTTGTTTCCCTGATATTTTCCTCCTGCAACACAATGACCCCCATTACAATTAGCCTTAAAAAAAGAAGAAGCTCCATTGGGATTAATAGGAAAGAAACTGAAGGCTTTTAAAAGTCAGTTTGAGAAAGGTGTGGTATGGAAGTGTCTATTACTGCTTTTTCTTTTTATATTTTCTATTTTTCCCTTCTTTCATCTTGAATAACTTGTCTATTGATGTTTTAAAATTTTGTTATATTTTATATATGGTTATATATGTTGGTAGCCGCCTAGAGTGGTCGTTTGACCAGATAGGTGGGGTATAAACAAACAAACAAACAAACAAAAAAACAAACAAA